GATGTTTTCTGTTGGCTCTTTGTTTGTGCCAAGAAAAGAGTGAACGATTGGCTCAGGACCAGTCCACTTGGAGTTTTTCAAATTCAACACTAAGTTCGCTGACACATCATTTTCAATAGCCAGTGCAGACACAGGATGAAATTTTTGACACCTTGGATGCATCTTACTCGTAAGTATCTTTGCATGCTACTTGTGGCATTTCTAGAAATCAGCTGAATGAGATCGTTGCTCCAGGCTCTTCCAAAGAATGAACGGCCTGCCATCGATTTGCCGCCATTGGTCAAAAGGGTGAGCCAAAGGAACATCATCACCGGATGCCGACTCCAAAAGATCCAGGAATTCTATGTGTGAGAGCAACACATTGAATACGAGTTCTTGCCAGGTTTTGGTGTTTGCCTGCACCTTCGGGTCTCGTAAGTTTGGGATCCCAAAAACATCAAAAAACAGTTTGATTTTCGGTGCAAAAGTCTGATTTGATCCCCATGATGCATTTTTTTCACCAACATCAACCCGGTGAACGAAGTCTATTTCCCTGGCGAATCATCCTTTAATATGTACGTGTAGAAATATAAATATATATATATAAATATATAGTATCAAGTCTTCAAATGTTTTCTTAACTTTGGTCGCTTAAACAAGCCAATTATCATCGTTGTTCGATATGTCTACGATATATATATATACTTATATGTATATGTATGTTGTTTTGACTTCTCCTCCGCAAATTTCTTCAATTTGTTTCCATAGTTGATCCCTGTGTTTGCTCAGTGTCAATGGTTCCATACTTTTCAATGTGTTCATAGTGTTAACATGTTTTTGTTTCTGTACATGTTCCATATCTCAGCTTGAAGTTGCTTAACCCATCTCACTGTACATTCCACATATTTTGTTTCCTCATATTTCTACATATTTCTACATATTTCTACATGTGTCCACATATTTCCACATAAACCCTATAGTTATTGTAGGTACCACCCCGAACTTCGCAAAGTATGCGGGCCACACCGCACCGCCCTGGCCCTCGCGCAGCTCTTCCAGAGCACCGCAGAACAGCTCTGGGGCCCGGGAAAAGCGATACCTGCCTTCGAGGAGCGAAATCCATGGGTGTTTTCCCGGTAGATTCGCTTGCCACATCTATGTATATATTCTGTCTATGTGTGTATATATATATATTTGTCAGATTTAAGGAACTAATACTCAAACATTTGAATGATATGTTTCTCAGGAAGAAGATGTTGTTGTTTCAAATGGGAATGTTTGATAGTTGGAGGATGAAAAACTTCGCAAGTGGCTACGTATTGGAATATCGGATGGCTATTGGTTTGGGGAAATATTTGACACACTTGTGGGATTGTTTCTTATGTGTAACATGTGACATAGATAACATAATTACAAATATTTACGTCAATGCGTGGCCTGCAAAAAATGTGGATTTGAGCATCACGAATTCGGGTGAAAAACCATCCAGGTGGGTGGATACAAGGGGATACGAGATTGGGTTTTTCTGAACATCTTTGGACATCACCACATTGGGGTATTCCCTGAGCCTCTGGACAGAGCCAAATCTTCCCAGTCAATGAAGCCTGAATAGAATTGGGTAAAAGTGACTCCCAGAACTGCATCATAAGGGATCGAACCGATGGCTGCTGAACGTTCTGAATGTCATGGGCTTCTGTCGTTTCTGTGGAGGATTTTGATGTTTTCTTGAATATATCTAAGCCCAAAGTTAAACGTTGTGGAGGAAGCACAGGGAAATGTAATTCATTTGTGTTTGGAAATGCGACCATTGACCGGTGAGTGGTCAACAATCTGGTGAATTGGCCAGTCTCCTGAGTATTCAAGTGGTGACCGGTGAATGGTCAACCTGAAAAAGTCAATGTGTGTTTGCTGTGAATTGGGTATACCAAGCCAAAACGTCACGAAGTCGTTTGTGTATTATTTACCCATCCCAAAATGAAGTGTCAATAGATGTCAATAGTTTTCGGCCACAAAAAAATGGTTGTTTGCCTCGCAGGCCGCAGCGGCTGCGGAGTCAGTAGCTCCTGAACTGGAACACAAAGGCAACGATGGGCCGGCGCGTTTTTTGTTCCATGACTGCATATTCTTTTGCTCAAACCCAGAAGATGAAAATGGGGAAAGTACCGTCCATGCTTTGCCAATGCATTTCAGATAGTTTCACTTGTTTCAATAAGGGTAGCGATGGCAGCAGTTTTAGGAAAGCAACCACCAAGCCACATCAGTCCCTGGCTACCAAGACGTCTGAATGTTTTGTTTTTTTTTTTTGAAGGACAAACCACGATAGGCTACAGGCGTTTTTCCAGCAGCCCTGGATCTGTGTAAAGAAACCTTATGGACCTTACCCTCTGGTAATTTAACGTAGCTATGGAAAATCACAATTTTTGATGGGAAAATCCACTATAAATGGCCATTTTCAATAGCTATGTTAGACATAACCAGAGGGTAAGGACCTTAATGAGGTCGGATTTGTTTGGATATGACCACTTCGTTGTTGAGAAAACATTCCACTACCATGCGGTTTGCCTTCGCCGTAGCCATCCATTGAAAAACCCTTTCACGGCATAGTTTTCCACGGGGAAAAAACTACAGTGAACAGTTCCTGGATAAGTGAACTTCGGATTTGTCATCCCTGGTGGCAGGGTTGACCCCAAAAAATGGCTCCAGTTATTTGAGGTTTCAACATGTTTCAAGCAGATTTTTGGAGGAACACAACCGACTGAAAAAATGGGACTCACCTAGCCTGGTTTTTTGTCGCGCGCAGACACCGTGAAGCCCGACACTGTGAAGCCGGGGTTGCCTTCCAACATTGCATCCCTGAAGTGCCGGCACCCAGTGTTTTTTCCGACTTTGCCGAGTTCTTGAAATTTTCCGTTGCGCCGAAAAAGACGTGGGAACCAATGGTCACCAATGGCATGGTGCATCCTAGTGCTGAAGTGTTTTTTTTACCAAAGTTGATGCTTCTGGTCTTAACAACTCAGGAGTTCTTTGAAGATGACAGTTGTTTTGATAAGACTTCAGATGTGGAGGTTTTTCCGCATGTCAGTTGACCAGAAATCCCAATCCCGACCCCGCCCAAGCGGTCAAGGGAGTCAAGGCTCAAGATGCCCAGCAGATTGTGATGTTTGAATGTTAGAAGACTTTTGAGGTGATAAGATAGGATATTATAGGTATAATATCATCCCCTATTATAGTATATTATAGTATATGGATATTATCATCCCCTATTATATCATCCCCTATTAAGATAGGTATAATATGGTATAATTATATGAGCTATGGTCAATACTCATGGTTAATAACCATTAATAGGGGCTGGTCATCCAATGGTGATTTAATGGGATTTATAATAACCATGATAAGGATCCTTATTATGGATGGGATGACCATCAACCATATAGTGAGTATTGACCATGGCTCATATCATCCCCTATTATAGTATCATGAAAATTAGAAACCCCTATATAAAGAATTGGAGTCAGTGTGTCATCAATTTGCCATCAATTTACCTCAATGTTCAAAGATTTTTTTCCTGGTTGGTGGTTTGAAACATTTAACATCATTTAACTTGTTTTCCAGATTCCATTGCTGTAATATTGGGTATGTCATAATCCCAACTGACGAAGTCATATTTTTCAGATGGGTAGGTATCCCACCAACCAGAAAATGTTATTAACCATCATTAACCCTATAATAACTATCATCATTAACCATGATTATTATTATCCATATATTAACCATGATTATTTTTAAATTAATAAATAGTTAATATTATTATATTATATTAACCATATATTAACCATATATTAACCATATATTAACCATATATTAACCAACCAGTTTCTTTTTTAATAAATCGGATCTCTCGGTTTGTGTCATCCCCGAGGTTTGGTGCTGGCTCCTGGAAACCAGGTCAAGGAGGCGGGGGATGTTGGGCGCCCGAAAACATATGGAAAACATGATGTGTTGGCATGTTCGGGGATTCCATAGAAATGAATGGGTTTAAGATGATTTAAGATGATTTAAGCATTGTTCGATATAAGACTTTTTCTATTTTTATTTTTATATATATGTATACAGCATATATATTTATATAAGATGTTGTAAGATTTTCATTTTTTTGGTTTCTCACACTATGTTTTTGTTTCTGAGATGTGCGTTCCTTCACTGGGCTTTTCCACGTTGGTCACGTTGAATTTTGCAGCTCGGTGGACTCGGTGGTGGTTGGTTTTCAGGTGGAAAGCAGCCACCTCTCACTGCGACAGGTGGGATGGTGCAATGTTGTGCCTGCTGGTAGTTCTAAGTTGGTTTATAACCGCTATTGACATCCATTAACATCCATTAGTTAACATCCATTGATTAACTATATATAATATATATAATAGTTTTTATGTATATATGATTATATATATATGGGTGTACTCCATTCAAGAGTTCACTACGGTGTTTTAGAACGATGAGGCTTTAGGAATACACAAGAGTTCTTTGCAGTGTTTTATAGAGGTGCACGTTTCAAAGAAGTTGTGCCCTTGTCATAGAAGATATGCGCGATTCATAGAAGTGATGCACGTTTCATAGGAGTATTGCACGTTTCACAGGAGTTGCGCATGTTTCGCAAGCCACCCAATAATGTTCTTGTTCAACTGCGTCCCAACTTGGAACTCTTGAACCATAAGAAAAGACGAACTCTTAAACGAAGTATACTGATATATATATATATATAAAGATATTATTGATATATACTCTACCATACACATCCAGAAACACTAGTTAGCCTTGTTATAGGCCAACTTAGCTAACCATAGGGCACCGCAATGTGTGTATGGTCCCAAAATCGGACGACGGATTTCTTGTCGCTCCTGGTTGGTTTGAGGGAAAATCTGCAGGAAAACGATTTGATGGTCATAAACATGGAAAATCCATTCGATTTCTGTAGATTTTCCCGAAAAAAAAACGGCTCCAATTTTTCTCGCAGGTGTGGCACCATGGGCCTTCAAGGCGTGGAACTTGTCCAACATCCTGAGGCGTTTATCATCATTTTCCCAATTTTACCGGTGAAAAAACGCCATGAAAAAGGGGCCTACTTATTTGATTAAGGACTTGGATGCTGAAAAATATTAGTGCTACCAGTGGTCCATTCTGGTACTGTAAATCCGCGGCTTCCGCAAAATCCCAGTTCTTGGGCTCAGCCGACAGGGAGGGAATGGCGCTCAGCCACCTGTCACGGTCACTGGCGTTGCACCATGGGCCTTCAAGAAGGAGCGAAGGGGCACCACGAGAATTTCATGGCCGTTTCTTTAGTCATGACCCACAAAGTATGCTGGCCACATCAGACTACCTTAAAAGCCTTGAACAATCATCAAGCATGTCCTAATGAATTTTCTAATGCATAGAATTCCAATTTAGCATGATGACAACAGAGATTTTCGGTGAGAGTTGAAAGCACGAACCAGTTTCCCCGCAAAAAGTGATATAATTTGGGAACATGGAAAAACATGATAACATAATATATGATAATAATTTACTGTATATATGTATATGTATAATATATATATATATATATATATATCTATCAGACAATATGATACATATATCATATCTTGAATACATTATAATACTCAGCTGATAGGGGCCCATCTCGTTCGTCGCAGGAGCCCTCTGCACCTTCGGCGCCACGAGCACCACGAGCACCCGAGACTGGCACATTGGGAAGCCTTCGAGAGGAGACGGGTTGCCATGCTTGGGGCTGAGGTAAAAAACTTGTCTAAAAGCACGGTTATACATGATTTAAAATGGTTTACCTTATGGTAAATCCGATTTTTTTGATATGAATGCATGATTTATATGATTTCGGGGGAGCCCTATTTCAGGAAACCTTCAAATGGCTAAAACCATTGTGATAAGCTACCCAGAAGTTCGTATAATATACTCTGACCCCATACCTATTGATTGTATGGTTATATATGGATCCACTTGTAACTGGAACTGCATGTCCAAGTGGTCTGGATTGTAAAGCCACACAATCCAAGGTCCAAAGATGAAAGTCATGCATAGTCCAGACATGTCCAGAAAGACATAAAACAAAATGAAACTGTGACAGGTGATGTCAGTATATTTACATCCTGTTATGTGCATCCCATTTGAATCTTTAAACTTTATTTGATATTACCTTCCTTCATGGGTGGAAATCATTGCTTACGACTCAAACGGGTTTTTCTAGGGTCGGCTGGCGATTTTTTGGGCCCGCATCTCATCGATCCCATCGCAAGAAGGTTGCCGTTTTTACATATTTTTACAATGGAGAGGCAGGTTAGTTAGTAACTATTACCCTCTGGTTATTTAACATAGCCATGGAAAATCACCATTTTTAATAGGTAAACCATCTATAAATGGACCATTTTCCATGGCTATGTTAAATAACCAGAGGGTACTTGTAGTTTTGGAAGGGATTAAGATCTCCTTCTTGGCGCGTCACAGACATGTTGCGAAAAATTGCCGCATAGGAGGAAGAGACTCCCAAGTCAGGGCTTGATCGAGTGCATGCGTCGCTTGCCAGAGGGGATAGACCGGGTAGTTTGACTCAGATTGTGTTGTGAAAATCTGAGGACAAACAATTCTTCAAGGTAAGACAGTGTGTTTGACCTGAAAGGCGAGCGGTTTTTTCTCAGCCCCAGTTGGAGACATTGGCAAACTTCAGGCGATGTAGAAAGTTACAGCTACAGAATGTTACAGATAGTTACCCTCTGGTAAACAAACAGTTCGCTATTGAAAATGGCCATTGAAATAGTGAGTTTTTTCCATGAATTAGCTGGTGGATCTTTCCATAGTTTTTTGTAAACGTTTACCAGAGGGTATTGACCATTCTTACCCAACAATCATCAATAGTATTAACCAACAATCACCAATATTATTCACCAACATTATTATTGTTATTTTTATTATTAACCATTATTTACTTTTCCCATGAAAAATTGTGGATCTTTCCATAGTTATGTTAGTAAAAAATGCTGATTTTCCCAGTAAAAATGGTGGGTCTTTCCATAGTTACCGCATGTTTTGTTGAGTCCAATTGGAATCTCCAACTGTCAAGGTACATGAAGCTCTGCGTCCCGGTGAAACCCATCGAAGGTCCCAATAGCTGGGAGGTGCGAGCCGTTGTTGATTGGAATGGCTGAGAGGTTTTTGACGGTTTTTGATGGTTTTTGACGGTTTTTGAAGGTGCTTGATGGTTTTTGATGGTTTTTGATGGTTCTTGATGGTTTTTGATCGTTGTTGATGGTTTTTGATCGTTGTTGATGGTTTTTGACGGTTTTTTGATGGTTTTTGGTGGTTTTTGGTGGTTTTTGATGGTTTTTGATGGTTTTTGACGGTTTTTGATGGTTTTTGACGGTTTTTGACGGTTTTTTAAGTTTTTGATGATTTTTGGTGGTTTTTGATGGTTTTTGATGGTTCTTGATTGTTTTTGATGGTTTTTGGTTGTTTTTGATTGTTTTTGATGGTCGAATTTTGAATCATTGAAATTTGGTTGAGTTGAATTTCACAACTGAAGTCCTTTGACACCCAAATTTCTCCAGTACCTCAGTGTGGTTATGGCTTGCTTGGCCAGACAGCGCTAATGGAAGAGACTCCAACTTTGTTGCCATCACTGAAGTCTGGATCCTGGATCCAATGCACCGAAGCCTTGCTAAGTTCAGACGTCATCTTTCGGCCAGATGTGGCACTCAGGTTTCACAATCTGGTGTTCGGTCATGAGGATATTGGTTTGGGAGCCTGGAAAAGACAGCGCAAAAATTGGGGATTTGTTTTCGCGCCGATGGAGGAGTTTCAATGACCCTTGTATGTGTGGATGACTATATGTCTTTAATTTGTGTATATTTGTATATAATATATATATATACATAAAATGTATGGTATATAGAATTACACATGGCATTGTTGAGCTTCAACTTGTTGGTGTGTTCAAACATGTTGGTGTTCAATCTCAGTAGCTGCAATTGGGATAATGTTCTGGATTGACTCTGATAGACTGCTGAACAGCGCAAAATTTCTGCAAATATCTTTCTCAAGTAGATCATCTAAACATATCTAGACCATGGAGTTGTTTCTAAAGATTTTGTCTTATATATATATACCCTCTGGTTATTTAACATAGCCATGGAAAATGGCCCATAGAAATAGATGGTTTATAATGTTTTATCTAACATAGCCATGGAAAATGGCCCATGAAACCACCAACCAGATATATATATATATATATTATAGATATTCCCATGGTATCCCAAAAAAAAGTACCAAATTTGAACCTTCCATTGGTGACTCTCCGGGGTGGCTTTTTTTGGTCCAAGGCCGTGGGGCCTTCAGCGTGGTGCGCTATGCGCGCACCATCCAGAAGGCACGGTGGTAGTTTAACATTGAATATATACATGTACACTAATTATAATACTAATACAATACTAATATGTTTAATTTACGTGTATTAAATATATTTATATCTTTAAATCTATATCTTTATTTCTAATATCCATATCTATACATATAGTTTCTGCTTGAAGCATAGGGCGATGTTTAGTGTGATTCTGATGCTTCTGGCTCTGTTTAAGGGACCTTTCATAGGAGGGTTCATGCCCCCGCAGCCGTGCAACAAGTGTCGCGCGGTGCCGGCTGTGGAAGGTGACACGTGGTGCTACGGCTGCGCGGGCTGGGAGGCACTAGGCCGTGAGCTGACCGCGAGCTGGGATTCACCCGGCGCTCGCAGGTTAGCCGCGGACTTAGCTGTCACCGCGGCCCGGCAAGTCCGTGCACTGCGATCGTTGTCGGCGGGACTGGCCCGTCAACCTGAGGTGAGCCGCAGTGCTGGTACCACCGGTGCACCGCGAGCTTCACCTGTCGCCAGGCGCGGTCGAGAGTCCGACCGCAGCCAACGAGAGCGCCGGGAACGGAGCCGCTCTCGCCGAGGTGCTGATAAACATCTGGCACCTAAGGAGGAAGAAGAGAGTGAGGAGGAGGATCTTGATCAAGAACCGGAGGAGGACGAGCGCCGGCGAAGCCGAGCGCGAAGTCCGTCCCCCTTGCCCCGGTCTCGAGGCGGAGACAGGAGGCCACCGGAGCCCGAAGGGCCCCCTTACCCTGGGGCTAAGCCCCTTCCTGTCCCTCTGAGTAAAGGAGAGGACACACGCCGAAGTTCGAGGAGGTCACACCACTCGGACCACCACCAGAGTCAGAGACACTCTGGGAGGACAAAGACAGGAAAGACAAGGAGAGCTGGCCGTAAACATTTGCGTTTGCACAGGTTGGCAGAGGACCCTACACTAAGGATTCATCGTCCCTTGAGCGGGAATTTTCTGGAGCTGGCTACCTCTCAGCCGGGTGCTCTGGATTTGGACAATCTAGGACGTTGAAATGGACCCCTCATTGGAGGGAGCAGAGTTTGAATTGGACGACCCGGACACATGGAGTCAACTTATGATAGAACCAGGTATGGTCTTGGAGGTAAACTTGATGAGCACAGATCTCTTCATCCTGGCCGAGACGTGGGCAGCCTTTCTTGTCCGAAAGGTAGAATTGCAGGTGGATGGATCCGTCATCATCACTGCCCAAACTCTTGGATGCGAAGAGGACGAGGCAGCAACAGCCATTGCAGCACGATTTCAAGGAAGGGAGTCGTTGCTACATCTTTGCACCTCTCGACCGTGTGTAGAGCTGGGTCCGCACCCGGGCACTGCACCGTTGCTGCATGTGACTTGTCTAAGATGGTGGACGGTACGCAACTTTCAAGCTGGCTATCTCTCAAGAGCCGTGCTCAACAAGTTGCCACAGATGGCAAAGGAAGTTCAAGGAGGGGACAAACCTGTGCCCCGACGGCGCAAGAAGGACGCCGACGCTGGAGATGGTGCTGGGCCTCCCCCGCGCATCACGAAAGCAAGAGAGAAGGCAAAACCAAAGGAAAAGGCCAAGGAGAAAGAGGCACCAAAGAAAAAGAAGGCAAAGGAGACAAAGGAGAAGGAGATTACCGAGCTGCAACGAGAGAAACTGCGTGCTCGGTTAGCAGAGGTCAAACGCAAACACACCGGAGAGGGTGGTCCAGCACCTCCGGTGGAGTCAGTGCTGTCCGGCTCGGGCGAAACTGGAAGCGATGGAGAGGAGGAAGAGAGCTTCAGCTACGCACCAACAGAGGCGTTGGACACAGGGACAGTACTGCGAGAAGTCCGCCGTGGGAAGGATTACAAGGTCCCTGCTGCAAAGGAAGACAAGCTAGTCCCGTACGAGGGTACAAAAGACAAAGATATGAGGAACTTGAGCGGGCAGCTAGTGAAGAAAGCGCTGGCAGTCAGCCGTGCGCGAGTCAAAGACAAGGAGAAGAAAAAGAAAGCAAAGGGAGGAGGAGAAGGGGCAGTTGCAGCCCTTCGAAAGATCCTTCTGGGGAAGTCGGAAGGTACCCAGAAGGACAAGGACAAAGACAAGAAGAAAAAGAAAAAGAAAAAGAAGAGGAAGAGGCTAGAGAATGGAGTGATCGTCAGTTGCAGCACCTCTTCCTCAGGTTCCTCGGAAGCGAAGGAGGAGGCCGAGACAAGCGAGGAGAGCGACCTCGAGGCGCCGATGAAGAAAAGGTCGAAAAACAAGCCCGGCAGTGTGCTGTCACTATTGACGGAGCACATCCGGATGCAGATGGAACAAGATGCCCTCACAGAGGTCCCGAAGGAAGGCCGCCAGGTGACTTCGGGCGTGAAGGTGGTCTCCTACTTCAACCAGCACGTCAAGCCGAGCTTCCTGAGCCACCAGAAGGAGCTGAGAGAGATGTATACGCTGGGGTCCGCACTAGACCTACTTCGCGCTGGAGACTTGCCGCGTCTGGGCGACGCGCTGTCGGCGCGTTTCATAGCGATACATCAAGCTCTCATAGACCAAAACTGGCAGACGGCCCGCCATATGGAATTATTCCTTTTGGAAGATTCCTCAGCCGCAAGCGCCAGTTTGGTCTTAGCTTCACGGAAGCATCAGAAGCTGGTGGAACGAGCGCAGGGCAAGGGAAGCAACCCAGGCTGGTCAACATGGACACCGAAAGGCAGGCCAAAAGGAAGAGGAGACTGGTACGACCAGGGCGAAGGTCAGACAAAGGGCAAGAAAGGGAAAGGAGATCGAAAAGGAAAGGGCAAAGGCAAGCAATGGAATCAAGGAGGCGGAGACAAAGCTGCCAACGAATGGGCGAAAACACAGGACAAGGGGGAGGCAGCAAAATGACTCCCCCTGAAGAGGATGGGCTGGCCCCGGCCGAGCCTGTCAGGCAAGTTTCACGTGGCTTGGAGAATTTGCAAATGGCTGATCTTTTTATGTCGTGCCATACGTTGCCGTCAGCAGGTGTTGCACTGGCATGGGCGTTGTGCAACGCCGAAGAGACATCACGGTTGCAGGGGAACCACAAATTTATGGATGGTATTTTCAACTCTGGCGCATGGCCCAAGGCCAGGCGGAAACGCCAGGCCTTTCCTATGTCTCTGGGGGATTTTACTGAAGTAGACGTGGTGCTCAAGAAGACCCCTATCGAACAAATCCGTGATGGATCGCTGGCTTTGCAATGGGGCCGACAATGCTGGATAATGGCAGCATGCTTTGCTTGCAATGGACTGGCAGGTGCGCAAGCACCTTTCCAGCCGGGCCGCTGGAGTAAGTCCGAGCGGCGGCTAGCAGAATCTGTGGGAAAGGCAGTCGACCGATTGCTTGACCTGGGACGAGCTGACCGTTTTGAGCCGGCCGAGATCGAAAAAGAGCTGAGAGGGCGTCGCCTGAACTATGACGGGGAAGAAATAGGAATTTGCCATGCTTTAACCCTAGAACAGGTCCTGCCGGCTCTCCCCCCTCCTGATCATGGTGGTTCTATTGAATTGGTTCGTTTCCTTTCTGAATCGTCGGTTGCTTTTCTTAGACACCCAAGTAAACATGTGGTTGATGATGTTGGACAAGATCTACCAAAGTTGCAGGGGAAGATTCACATTGCTGGAGGAGAAGTTGATGGTATTGCAAGGGAACTGGTACGAAGGAACATTTGCAGTTGGATACCATTGGAATCAGTTCTGTCCTTTAGGGGGGAAAAGGTTCTTAACGGGATGTTTGGAGTGGCGAAATCCTCAACCACCTTAACTGGCAAAACCACCCTGCGTTTGATCATGAACCTTGTTCCGAGCAATGCAGTTTTACGAAGCTATGTGGGTACAGTCAAATCACTTCCTCAAATAACATCCTGGATGAGTATAACCCTGGAAGAAGGAGAAGAAGTGCGAATCTGGTAGAGTGATATGAGTAATGCGTTCTATCTATTTCAATTGCCATTGAATTGGGGACCATACCTTGCTTTCAACATTGTTAGAAATGGATTGGATATTGGTGAAACACCGGGGCAACAATTTGCATTATCATGTCGGGTATTACCCATGGGCTGGACCAATTCCGTTGCCCTCATGCAAGAAGCTAGCGAGCGGATACTAATATGGGGTCGTTTAGACAAAGCTTCACAGATTTCACGGGGCATCCCATTACCAAATTGGATTACAGGGGTCATTGGCGAAGCGGTTGGATCTGGTAAAACTTTTTGGCATGTCTATTTAGACAACTTTGCAGCGGGAGAGATAGGGGATGCCACTACAAGTTTTAACCATGGGGAAGTTCTCCATCAGTTAGCAGAGAAAGCATGGGCTGAAGCAAGGGTAGTGTCATCTGAAAAGAAAAAGAGGACAGCAGTGGTGCAGGCTCAAGAATTGGGAGCATTTATCGATGGGCGATCACAGACACTAGGGGGGTCACCAGAGCGGTTAATAAAACTGGCTCAGGCGACCTTATTTTTACTTTCAAAGCCACATCTTTCGAAGAAGTTGACTCAAGTCATAGCTGGAAGATGGGTGCATGTTTTTCAGTTTCGTAGACCAGCAATGGCACTGATGGAGTCTGTCTGGGAATTTACAACACAAAAGGGAATCTGCCCTGTCTTGGTACGAAAGACGCGAAGGGAACTGTTCAGCTGTATTTGTGCCATACCATTTTTGCACACCTTTTTAGGTGCTGAGGTATCTGAAGTTATTACAGCAAGTGACGCATCGATGCGTGGGGGAGCTGTCGGAATAGCCAACACTTTAACTACTGAAGGGATGGATTATGTGCAATCCATTTCAGATTTCCCCAGGCCGAGACGGATCCCAGTATTACTGATATCCCTATTCAATGGAATAGGAGGGGCACTACGAGCTTATGATCTGTTGGGTTTGGTTCCGACTGGAATTGTGGTATTTGAAATACACAAGCCGGCAAATAGGGTCACTGGCAAACGCTGGCCACAAACAGAAATTATGGGTGATGTTAAAACCTTGAACGCAGAGATGGTACGAGACTGGGTTCAGCGGTATGTACCACTGAAAGAGCTGCACTTGTGGTTTGGATTCCCATGCGTTGATTTGTCTTCAGGGCGGCTTGGATTGGATGGTCCAAACAGTGGTTTATTTTGGGACGTCATTGAAATCATCCGGCTGCTGGAACAAGAACTACCAGCTCACATATCACTGAAATATGTGGGAGAAAATGTTGCCTCAATGAACAAAGCACATTGCCAGGAGATCTCCAATGCGTTGGGAGTGAGACCATATCATCTCAATCCAGTTGACGCTGGACCAATGCAGCGACCTAGGCTTTGCTGGACAACGGAGGAGTTGCAAGATACGCTGGATGGTTTGGAATTTGTAGAGCGGGACCACTGGACAAGCATCAAAGCAGAAGCACCCTGGCCCGAAGCTTCCCAATGGATATCACCTGACACAGTCTGGCCGGGTGGTGATGAAGGTCATGCTTTACCTACAGCAATGAAATCAATCAAGCGAAAACGTCCGCCACCAGCTCCGGCGGGAATTGACAGATGCGACAGTGACACACTCCAGCGTTGGGAGGCCGACAATTTTCGGAACCCACCATATCATTACCAAGGACGTTTCATCTTTTGGCACCATGACAGGTGGAGATTGTGCAACGCTTCAGAAAAAGAACTGCTTCTTGGATATGGATGGGGGCACACTGAATTATGCTACAGTGCATCAGATATCAAGAACAACCCCGAAGGATACCAAGACGAACGACTGAGCTTGTTGGGTGATAGTTTTAGTTTGCTCTCTTTTATTATCCCCGCATATGGACTCTGCAGTAAATATCTTCCCAAATTGGCATATACTTTTCTTGCAAGACGGATGGGAATGGCCCCTGGTTTTTGTGCAGCCTTACAACTTCAAGCACCAATTCAGAGATATTTACAATATGGGTGTCGTGAGCGGGGCTTACTGAAAACACTACAACAGCTCAACAGGATTTTATTAACAAGGGTCAATCATACGGGTTCTGACATCAAGATCACAACGGGAGAAGTGCTTGCACCGAGGGCAGTGCCGCGTCAGTCGGTCCAAGCAGACTGGTGGAATTGGGAACACCTATTCACAACACGTTGGCAACACTCTGAACATATAAATATTTTAGAACTGCGATCAATTCTGTTGAGTGCAAAATATCAAATTCTCAATCTTCATGCGGTGGACGCCAGAATCTTCCATGTTACAGACAGTTTTGTTTGTCTTTCAATAGTTGCAAAAGGGAGAACTGGAAGTAGAAGGCTAGGACGGGTGCTCAAAGAACTTAACGCCTGGCTTTTAGGGTTTGGCATAACCATGGTTTTGGGGCACGTGGAAAGCTCCGAAAACCCCACTGATGGGGCGAGCCGCTCAATTGCGCTTTTGCAGCCGGCGCACGAGAGCTGAACGAGTCAAGCAGAGGGCTCATGTCGTGCTCCGTGACGCTGGCATAACCTTGCGTACTCAGACAAGATACTTTATTGCCCTTAGACGTTTACTGCCAGTTTTAGAAAAGAGCAGGACAGTTACTGAGATGGATGCTAATGTTTCTGACTGGATCCAACAGCGGTGGGAGCGAGGAGATTCGCTCCATCAAGTTAGCGATGCACTGTGCGCAATACATCATTGGGAGCCATGGACAAGGCGACAGCTGCCAGAGTCATGGAAGGTTTATGCAGTTTGGCGGAAGCTGGAATCACCTAACCGTGCTCCCCCTTTGACACAACGCATTCTTGATGCCATGGTGATGTATTGTATCGATCATTGCAACCTTGAGTTAGCAGCTGTGTTGGTCTTAGGCTTTTATGCCCTGTTGCGCACAGGTGAATGTCTCCAAGTAAGACCCTGTGACTTGCTTTTGACACCAACCTCAGGCGTAGTCAGCTTGTCTGAAACGAAAACTGGGCTGAGAAATGCAGCTAAGGAAACGGTGAGCCTGCAATCACCGTTGGCCTTGGAAGTTCTGATGGCAACAGTAGAAGCAAAAACTGATTTGGGTTTGGAACGTTTGCCAATCTGGTCCAAATCTGCACAGAGTTTTCGAAATGCCTATGCCCACCATCTCAAAAAGTTTGACCTCATGTCACATGGTTTTAGACCTTATTCTTTGCGCCGTGGAGGTGCGACTGCTTTGTTTCAAAGCACAGGATCCATGGAGCAGGCGCTGCTCAAAGGCAGGTGGGCTTCGACAAAAGTAGCCAAAATATACTTGGCCGATGGGCTCTCCTTCCTCCCCGACCTCCGTCTAAGCAATAAATCAAAGGAAATGCTGGTTAAATGGGCTCCAAACAACGCCTTATAAATGGGCCCTGCCGTGCGTTTCTTGGTTTCAAAACACGTTGTGTTTCGAGATGTGGGGTCGTGGAGAGGATGGTTTTACAAGTGGAAAACCCCTGCCATGGGGAATCAAAAGCCTTTTGAAAGATCCTGCTACGGGATCGAGAAGTTTCATGCGTTTCATGAGTTCCTGCCATGGGAACAGTTTTCACACAAAGAAGGAATCTCAAAAGGAGATGAAAACTGAGGCAGCCGTGGGCAGACAACTCGTCTCCCTAGGCTGAAAAACCTACAGTCATGCGTCAGAAAAACACAAGGCTGAGCCCTATAGTTTCTGCTTGAAGCATAGGGCGATGTTTAGTGTGATTCTGATGCTTCTGGCTCTGTTTAAGGGACCTTTCATAGGCCCAACCCAAATCCCCCCCAGTGAATGGAGAGGATGGTTTTACAAGTGGAAAACCCCTGCCATGGGGAATCAAAAGCCTTTTGAAAGATCCTGCTACGGGATCGAGAAGTTTCATGCGTTTCATGAGTTCCTGCCATGGGAACAGTTTTCACACAAAGAAGAAATCTCAAAATGAGATGAAAACTGAGGCAGCCGTGGGCAGACAACTCGTCTCCCTAGGCTGAAAAACCTACAGTCATGCGTCAGAAAAACACAAGGCTGAGCCCTATCATATATGTATATACTAAGATATAATTATATGGTTTAATTGTACGTATATATATATATATATCATCCATATCTAGTAAGTAGATGATTTGTGGACATCCTTGCTTTGACAAAGATTTCAATGAGTTTCCAGCCACATCTGCTTGAAATCGTTGGTACCCACTCCTTTCGTCAGGAGAAGACACAGTCCAAGTGGCCCGAGTATGCGGTCAAGGTGGGAAACCATGGTGGGAAACCAACAGTTCGATGTGGACAAGCCATGATTTGAAGATCATTTTGTTGGGAAAACGATGTTTTTTTCACTGCAATCACATCTAAGAACTAGTAACTAGGCTTGATGGAGGATACAGGTTACATCTATAGTTATAGGTAATGGGGTTATGCAACAACAAACATCATCATGGTGCACCACTTTATGTATGTCCCGAGCGTAGATCATGAGGTGATCAATACCAAGACCATGGAAGAACTCGGCTACGAGGCGGCCTTGGGACTTTGGCCATGATGGCATCATGGGGGGATTCGATGATTGGTTTATCTCTGTTTAAAAAAATATGGAAAACATCATGTAGCATCATAGTACCCATAGGATCCATGTATGCTATATATGGTAACATGGATCCCATCAATATACCCCCTTTATGTTAGCATATATACCATACATGGATCCTATGGGGTATGCAAGGCAAAGATGGGACCGAGAAAAAGGGATGGTCCATGGTTTCCTGTAGATCTCCCCTACATCCCAATGACTCGTTATTCGGGTCCAGGAATCTGCATCTTTTTTGTTCGGGGGTTGTTTCAACCCGCCGTTGTCAGATTATGTTTCCTCAAATGCGGAAGATTGTAGCCTCCAAGGTGGGCACACACCATGACATACAAAGCAGAACACCTCCCACAAAAAAAACTATCTACAAAGCTTGAGGAGCAACCTCAACATGTTGGTGTGCCTACCTGGCCTCCTTTTTAATTAGTCGCCAAAAGAAAACTGGTGTTCGAGGCATCTGTGAATCGAGAGATTTGTGTTTTGAAGATGCTGAGTCATCCAGTTGGAAGCTCAGAGCGGAAGCAGCAAACTCCCCAGAAGTGCATGTGGTTGTGGTGGTGATGGATCATTCTTGAGCATGACTGATCATGATTGACTGGTTGGTGGTTTCAAACATTTCTTATTTTCCATTTCATATATGGGATGTCATCCTTCCCATTGACTTTCATATTTTTCAAGATGTTAAAACCACCAACCAGTTGATTTTACAGAGTGAACTTCTGATTTTTTCGCCCAGGGCATTGCCCGAATGGTGGCAGCCTTTCGGTACAGGGATGGAGCCTACCTGGTGTTGGAGTGCCCTCCTTGCTGCCCTGAGATTGGTGGATGGATGTCACATCGATGTGATGTTTAGTTGAACAAATATGTCATATGTCTTGATTGTTTGGGCTCAGAATGGGTCAAAACTACATCAATGCCTTCCATGAGCCTTGAAATTGCATGCCGTCTGCAAACGAAATACATTTGACCAACTGGTTCTGGTGTACATACATTGGTGCCCCCCGCAGTTACAAGTTGGTTTCTAAGCACCATTATATTACATATTACCAAGACTAAAATAACTATATTTAAATTCACCATAAACATAAACCATAGTTAACCTGGTTATGTTCTCCAACTTCGCTATCGTTTACCACCAAAAACGTAAACGCCTGATGGAGCTCCAGTTTTGCCTGGAACAGGTATGCTCACAAGGGAGATCTACACAACATGCTGTGTTCGCTGGGCAAACTCCAGGAGGAGCGATGACACATTCGTGTTGTGGCCACCGTGACCGATGGGGTGATCAAGTTGGAAGTTAGACAATGAGATGGTTCCGTTTCGAGCCACTTAGTGGTTCAGCTGTCTTCTCCATGGTTTCTAACATCTACTGAAATTTCCATCGCAATGTCAAGATGATCAAGGATCACTGGTGAATAAGCCTGGCACCAGCGGATAGAATTGTACAAGGTCTCATTGTCAACCAAACTAACAGGCATTGCATTTGGGCAATCAGAATGGCGAAACAAGGCGTTGTGTTTCTTGATTTGTTAAGCACTGTTTTCTTTTTGCCCATCTCCTCAACAGCTTTGAGGATGTGGCACGATTCTTTGTGGGCGAAGTGGTCGCGGCATTGTGTGCAATTCACGATACAGGTGTGGAGAGTGACACGCTTTGGACTGACATGAACGGCACATAA